ATCACACAAAATAATTATAAATAAAAAGAAAGAAGTCGTCCATTACTGTTCCACACAAATTTAAAAAAGCAGCCGGCTGCCGTGTGGCCACACCAAACTGTCTGCGTATATTTTGCCCACAAAATAAAATTAAAAGATATTTAAATGTCTTTCAACCGTCTGACCCTCTGTGTGTCCGCACATCGTTTATATTTCATGGGGTCATCTGCGTGTTGCTGCTCCCCTCAGCCCTCCCATCGGCGCGTGAGTGCGGCCCGCAGAGCACAGTCACTCGTGTGTGGGGACTGAGAGAAGCACGCAGACACGACGGCAGTCGCGTCACTCCATCGGGAGAGTGAGCGCAGCAAAAGAAAAAAAAACACGCAAAACAAGAAGAACAGTCAAAGAAAGCAAGTAAAATTCCTTTTTTAAAGCGGCAGGGTGTGGCTGTGTGTGTGGCGCTGCGGGTGTCTGCCCGCCCTGACCGCAAGAAAACAAAACAAGAGGGAAGAAATGTGTGCTCCGCCCCACAGGCCCTCGTCGCACGCCCACACGTCACGGCTCCCTCAGCGCGCCGTTCGTCGCGGCCCCTCCTCATGCGTGCAGCAGGCGAGGCGCACAGGGCCGTCGTCGTGAGCGTGTCGGTGGGTGTGCGAGTGGAGCAGTTGGGCGGGAACACACGGCACCCCTCGCAGGAAGAGCGCAGCAACAAAAAATTAAAAGAGGGAAGAGTAGAAAAGAAAAAAACGTACATATTGACTGCCCCAAAAGCAAAAAAAAAAAAAAAAGGCAAAGGAATGAGAGATTAGGAAAAAAAAAAAAAGTAAAATCAACCAAAAAGTAGCAAACAGGAAATTAAATTTAAAATAAGCAAAAAAGAAAAAACTATTTGAAGGGAAAGAATTAGTTCTTGGACGCAATTCTCTGCTGGGGAGGTCGCAAGTGTCCCACGCGGCAGCCAGTCACGCCTCACACAGCCGCAAACCCCCACAGTCCAAACAGCAGAAGGAGCAGCGGCGGCACCCTGCTCTCACGCACAGTGCCGGCATCGCTGTTATTCCCCTGCGACAAATTTCCCAGACTGCTGCTGAGGGCCGCAGCATTTACGTCCCTGTCCTGCGGATGGATTTCCTCCTCCCGCGCATCCGTTCCTCCTGCCGTCTCCCCATCCGCACCAGGGCTCATGCTCACCTCAGGTGTCAATGCGGGTGCATCGTGCCCCACGGTTTCAGCGGTAAGAACGTTTGTATCGGCGGCGGCGGCGGTATCACCCACGGAAGGTGTGTGCGGTCCATCCCCCTGTATCGTATCTGCACTCCCCTCCCCCACCGTTGGGTTACCGCTAGACGAGAAAGTGCCATCCACATCTGCATTTCCGTCGTGAGGCCTTCCTGGCGCGAGTTGGTTCACAGATTGCCCACTTCCTGAGGAAGTCGTTGAAGCGGACACTGCTGATGGGGATGCAATGCCACCGCCCACACCCTCATCTCCATTCAAAGGTTCCTGTCCCGCCTGCGGTGTTCTGCCAGAAGAAGGCACCACAATTTCCTGCGCACTTGTTTCCTTCGGAGGCGTAATCGGGGGTTTAATTGCATTAAGAGCAGTAATCTCATTGCCATCCAACGGGCGGTTGTACAGCAGGACGTTCGTCACAGTCACAGAAACGTCTTTTCTCTCTGTGTTGTCTCCATCCCCTCCAATGTAGAAGTGGGAGATCCCTTTAGAATTCGTATTCTCCAATTTACATGGCTCACCCACACGCTTACCATCGACGTACGCGGAGCCCTGAGTGCCGTTCTGCAGCACAATGGCCACCTGGTGTATTTTCCCTGGCTCCCAATGGCTGCTATGCCCCTTAGTCACTGTGCCACTGGACAACACTTCCCACTTCTTCTCTTTCTCGTTGTTGCTGTACGACAGTCCCAGGAGAACAGTCTTATCATCGCCATTCATCTTCGCACCCATCAATGGAATGGGGGTATCTCCCTCCTTCGTCGGCACACCGTCGATGGACACCGTCGCCACAAGAGTGAAGTTGTAGTTCGCAAAGTGGTACAGCTGATTCTCCCCCTGCCTGCCAACGGGCCACTCCGCCCACGCTCCCCGAAACGTCACACCATCTGAAGACTCTGCAGTCTCTGCTTTCTCTGCTGGCGCTCCTTCTTCCGCTCTCTTCACTGTGGCGTTCACCCCGAGGTACTCGTCCCTCCATGTTTCATCAGAGAAGTTGCCGGACAAAAAGCCAACCAGCCCAGCCGTGATCTTATTTTTGCAGGCACTGTCAGGTGAGCCATCCTTCTCAGCACTTTCAGAAGGGCACAGCCTGGAGACACGTTCGTCCACTTCCTTCCAGGTCTCCAGCACCTCCTTCACACGCTGCAGCTGCTCAGTCAGAAGCACAGACCAAAGACTGTGTGATGGTTTTTCCCCACCGCCTTTCTTCTCGTACAGTGCAATCAACTCCTCCCTCTTCTCCTCATCAGTTGTACTTTCACTACTTTTGTACAACAGGGAGCTGGCGGCAGCGTCATCGTCCTTCTCGGATACCGGCCCAATATCAACAATGTGCGTGTTGTCCGTCAGCCAAAGATGGAGTCTGTCCTTTTCATTTTGTGTTTCTTTGGAATACACCGGCAGAGTAACGAGCATCACATTTTTCTCATCATCTCCATCACCGTCAAGAGTCATTGTTATGAACCCGCTTCTAACGGCCTTAGCTTCTCTCTTGTGTTTGTTGCCCCACACGCGCGAGAGTGTCCCGAGTGCCTCCGTCCACGACTCCCCCTTGTCACCGGACTCGTACACCCTGCGGCGGCCATCACCACACGCAGTCATCATCATGAGTTTGTCCTTCCACTCCACGACGGAGGGATCACCGCAGCCATCGGCAGACATCCCCTTCGACAGCGTCCAACTCTCAGCATCCAAGGAGTAAAGGAGCAGTGAAAAGGTAGTTGTCTTTTCATCCTCTTCTGTTTTATCATCCCTCTCCTTCGTGCCTTCCAGCGGAAACACAAGCGTACCGTCCTTCATTTTAACACCCGATCCACCGCCGCCAATCAGTCCTGTCAAGGATGAAGGTTGTTCGCCGAAAGGTGTCTTCGGGACAGCGTTGGTATCTTTCCAGTCAATTTGTTTGTTACTTTCTTTATCACTGAATTCCCCTTTCACCATCAATAATCCCGATTGAGCTGCAGCACTCTCCCGAGCATCAGCACCAGCATTCCCACTGTATTACCCAACGACCATGTAAATATCACCTCCATTCACAACCGTTGTTGGCCGGCTCACATCTACTTTCTTGCTTTTGGGAGCGACTTCCTCCAGAACTCGTATCACTCTGGCATTCTTAAGCACTTCCATTGGTTCTTCAGCAGTATCTTTCGTAAGAAGTTGGGATGCAATGCCAGTAAAGACGTTCTTTTCATCATTCTTGCACTGCGCCTCAGCAACGGCAAATACGACATTCCCCACTTTCAAAAGGCCGGGAACACCCAACGATTTCACACTTACGCCCTCCTCATTAGCGTCCTTCCATTCAAACTTCGGATCAGACGACGGCTCCACAGCTTGCGTAGCTCCACCACAGATGGCGCAGCACATCATCACGACGAGGAGGAGCAGCACCGCGGAAGTAAACGCACGCCGGGACATGTTGAGCCTCTGCGGCTCACTCTCTCCTCCTTCCCTCCTCCTTCCGCTGTGTCCGGTCACGCGGCGACGGTTGTGTGTGCGGGTGCCTTCACTGCAGCAACACGTGAGAGCATGCAAATATGTGTGTGTAGGCGGTGTGTGCTGTTAGTCCTTTCAGTGCCTTCGAATTTCACAGTAACGTTTAGCGCTTTTTTCCCTCTTTGTGAGGGTGAGAAAGAAATGAAGGAAAACAAGCCAAGAAAAGAAGTACAACAGCAAACACCGTCACCCATCCACAGTGAGTGGCACCATCATCCCCGCCGCAGTCACTCCCAACAACAACAACTCACGCACACAAACACACGGAACAGCAGAAGGGAGAACAGTGCACCTGGAACACACAGCGACTGCCACCACCAGCAGGAGGAGTCACGGCGGGCGCTTCTGCCACGCGTCAGCACACACCGAGCGACGACTGCCTACACACAAAACAACCAGCGGAATGCAAAAGAGCAAGACCGCCCCTTGCAAAGCCCACGCGCTCTCGCCAGTCATTTTACTGTTGTCCCTTCCAACGCACATCACCCACACAGGCAAGGAATCCCTGACCAAAGTATACTCAGCATGGGAGATACACATTGGCACGTGCAGCAGCTGGACGAGAAGCAATCCGCACTTGTCCCTGGCAACTGAAGCCACACCACCCAATCGACTGCACGCCTGCAACGTGTCAAAAAATAAATCGCAGGCTCCCGTCCTCCCTCCTCGCGAGGGACGTCGCAGCCAGAATCTTCTGCGTGCATCCATTCTCAGCTATCACGCCGCTCTACAGAGTATGCATAATGGCGTGTGTGTGTGCATGTTTGTTTGGCAGCGCCTATACTTGCAGAGCAGCTGTGCGGCACAAGAGAGTCTGAAGAAAGCAATGGAAGAAAGAGGCAGATAAAACACACGCAAATTACTCATATCATCACACACACACACGCAGCCGCGGAATGGGTGCACTCAACCACAAAATCAAAAAGGAAAACAAAACAAAAAGCCGAAGCGTGGGACGACCAGCGCACACACACTCTCATTACTCCCGTAATGCAAAACACACACACAGAGGGAGAGAGAGAGAGGTCGCCCACTCAATGCAATAAAAACAAAACAGAAACCGTTACGGTGCTCCGCCCATGCAGCCAGGCAGGACGGCAGCGGTGCGTGTCGTGCAAAAGAGAGCACCAACGGGCCTGCATGGGTGTGCATGCATATATACAATGGGCACATTATGTGTGTGCCTCGTGGGGTGAGGTGAGGGCGAGAGTCCGTGCAAGGGGACACACACACAGAGAGTGAAAGACGAGTGTGTGTGCGGGCGGTGCACGGCTCTCTCACACTCACTCTCACGCGGCCACCACCGCAGCAGCAGCAACAACAAGAAGAAGCAAAAGAGGGGAGGTGTGAGAGACTGCGGTGCTGCTGTCACTGTTGCCAGATGCCACCGTGACACTTTTTATATCCGCGAATTGGACCGGTGTTTCCTTCGTATTATTATATTTATTTTCATCCCGCCTTTCTTCCGTCCCTGACACATCGGAATCCGGTGTATTGTTCGGAATATCTTCTCCAGTGCTTCTGTCTGCTTCGTTATTTGCATTATTGCTGGCAACGAGGGTTGTTGTTGTGGTTGATGTGGCTCTACCGCTGGATGTTTCATTCTGATCTGTGTCTACGGTGGTGGCGATATCCTCTTCTGCCAAATCTTTGTTTGGCTTCATGCTCACTGAGTCTTCCTCTGGCTGCGGCACCGGCGCCTTATCTGCATTGGGGAGTGGTCCTTCCACTGGCGGTGAAGGTGTTAGATCTGTTGCTTTCGCTGGCAAATCCCCCGGTGATGCTCCCTCTGGTGACTTTATTTTAGTGGTCTTAGTCGTCTTGGCAAGGCCTCCGACGCTCTCAACTGTTTCTTCTGCCGGCTGTCTCGTGCGACTTTGTGATACTGTCGTACCGCCCTCACCGGTCCCCAGAACTGTTTGCTCTTTTGTACTAGGCTCCAAGCCCTCTCTATCTTGATTCCCTAGCAGACCATCTGCCGGACTTGTATCTGAAGTCTCTGGCGCTGTCATATCAATCCTATCTTTTTTCTGTAACGCATCAGCCACATCTGCTCTCCTTCCGCCACCTTTTCTCGGTACCAAACCGGACACCTCACCTGACGACATTGGTTGACCGATCACAGTCATTGGTGCCCCTCGCGCAGTGGACAACGTAATTGGTGGCAGCGGCTCACTGACCCCCGGTGGTCCTCCTGGTACATGAGACGCTGAATAGGTTCCGCTAACAATATCTTCAACCTGAGCCGTCTCAGACTCTGACGCGAACACGGACGAGCAGAAGCACAGGGCAAGCACCAGCAGGGCGCACAGCAGACGGCACGTCATCATCATCGTGAGTGTGGTCGTTCAGTGGTGTGGAGCTGATCTGCACAGTGAGGGACATGGAGAGCAACAGGGGAGACGAGAGGTGCGGCAGACACACACAGAGGGCACACCACATGAGGAGAGGGCAGCAGCCAGGCATGCACCGTACGCCGCACACCACGCACGACACACACTCCAATCCACGGCAGCAGGCACACACACACACAGCCCTGCCGCAACACCAACACACAGATGGAAGAGGGAGAAGCAAACAGGAGCGGCACACAAGGCTCCACCGCATGCACATACGGCGAGAGCGGTCCGTCGTGTCGGCACCCCTCACGGAGGGGTGCGCACACACACAAGAAGGTGCAGCGCACACAGCAGCACAAAAGCATAGTAACAATAAAAAAAGAAGAGATCCCCGCACACCACGCGGATTGTTGGTCCACGGGAAGTGCGGCCAATATTCACCACAAAGAAGATTGTTATCTTGTTTTGGTTGTATGCTGCTACAATAACGAGTGAGTAGCGCAAGGGCCGTCCGTACAAAAGTGGCAAGTATTCCGTCGTGCGGGCTGGGGCAGTCCCACACAGTCGCAGTCCCAGTTCCCAACGACGAGGGCATTCCCGCAGTGGATGAGGCGGAGTCTCCCGTGGTCCGTCGGGGATCAGCAGCCCGTGGCGTCCGTGATGAGGCGGTGGCGGAAGAGCCTGGTCCATCTCGAGTACCCGCGGTGGTGCTTCCTGCGTGTCTTGCCTGCCGGCATGCTTGGCAACTTCGGTGGCGACCTGTGCGCGAGGCGCCTGTTAGGAAGACGGTGGCGCCATTGCGGCATCCGCATGGGAGGCCCTCGCAAACTATTATAACGCCAGGCTGAGCACGTCCGGCATGTGCCCTCATACTGTGGACGGACAAGCGCACTCTGCCGCAGGTTGGGCAGGAGGACGTCAATCCACCGCTCGCTGGTCGACAAGGAGTTGCGGTGCTCACGTCGGGAAGAGGTTCCGGCGGAGGCAGAGGCGGGCCGGTCACCGCAGTGAGGGAGGAACGGCACCACCGACACAGAGGGTTCCTTGTGATCCGCAGGGCGCGTGCAGGCCTGTCGAAGAGTGGGCAGGAGTCGCATCGCGCCTGTGCGCAGTGCCGCCACTCGGGCACGATGTCCGGGCCAACACCAGGAATAGAGTCCTCGCCACACCGACAGGCGCCTGTCACGCGGTGTGCGCGCCTTCCTTTTCCTCCTGGGCATCCTTCCATTATAACCTCTTGACGGCGGTAAGGAAGCCCACTTGCCAGGCATTGACGCAGTCCTGCGGGAGGGATCGTGCAATCGTGGCTTGTTTGTCAGCGGCCTCACTGCGTGGAATACCGCAGTGTGATGGGAAAATATAAAATCCACAGGGTGACCTCGCTTCACCAAGGAAAGCAGCATAATCCAAATTTACTCAGTAACGCGGTCTCGCACGGTCGGTGGGCAACGCGGGGTGCCTCAATTGCCGAGAGGGAGTCCGTTTCCTCCAGCATTCGTGTGGGCGATTGGGATGCTCCCAGACAAGGAGGTATGAGATGTCTAAAAACATTTTCGATCGCAAGGCAGTCTGCCCTATATGAGCATGCGAGGCTGCCAGCTGCTGCACGATGTACCTCCACAGGGAGATCATTTGTCGTGGTGGAGTCATATAATAGCGCAGCGGATCCGGACGCGAGTGCAGCGAGGTATGAAGGACCGTCCGTCCACAATTCAAAATCACAATCCCCCAAAGAGGAGTGAGTAGAATAAAAAGCCGTGCGCCTGACATCGTCAGAGGCGTCTTCGGCAAACAGTGGCTGATAAAATCTCACGTTGTTGCAGATCACAGTGTCCCAGGGGAAAATTCGATGTTGGGCAAGAGGCGCGCGAATGTGGTTGTGGGGTGTCCCAATAATGTCACAGACGCGTAGCAATCCATTAATAGCAGCATCTCTCGGAAGCGGATCGATGTCGCCGCTTTCCCATGCATGGACGAAGGCATAGGTTCCGAGTAGATAAGGGAACGCAAATCCTCGTGATCATGGA